GGTAGTGGCCACACACCGTCCTTATAACCTACACCCGTTAGTGCTGTATACCCTCTTTGGAATCAAGAATTTTCCCTTCTGTGTAAGCTGTCCAGAATGCTCGAGGTCATAGTGGATGATTAGTACAGCATTAAGACGGTCATGCTGGATTTAGTGGAAACACAATGTGGGGTTTTCATAACCTTGTTTGCCTTTTCATGTTATTTTCACGTGGGCTGAACCATCAGAAGGCACATAATTTTCATAAAGACGTCACTTTTCTTGCAGACTTGCCAAGTGCAGCCGACACACTACGCCATGACGCATCTTGATAACGTGGCCAAGTAACTACCTAAACCGTGGATAATTACTACGTATTCTGTGTCATGTTTGGAAGTTTTGCGGAAAACGGACCCTAAACCCACCTTGTATCTAAGCGCCCACTGGTTCTGCATAGCTCCCAGGTGGGCCGGTCTTGCGCGACGTGGTTTGGAACACTTTGTGAATGTAGAAAACATCGTCCTGGGAATGCACCCTGGTGCTTGAAAATGTATACGCGCTAAACCAGTAGCCTGGAACGTACTATCCAGGTCACCTGGAACAGCCAGTGTCTCATGAGCGATACAGAAGTGCACACCACGAACCAATGTGATCGGTGGGGAATTTGGGAGGGAGGGTGCCGAACACTTCCTGGGATTTGTCGCATGACGTTATACGTCGCAAGCCAGGTTCCGAAGCGCATTAGCACTCGCGCACTTAAACCGAGGTACCATCACCCTGAGAGCAACAGGATGAGACGGAATGAAGGCACGTGTGAACTTAGTAGCCTAGCGATCGAAGACCATCTAAGCTTGCCATTATAACCTATCCTATTACCAAAGACGGAAAAAATCATAAGATGTAAGCAGAGACGTTTGTAATAGGGGAAATCAAACCCAAATACTGACGTGAGTAGAACTTCCAGGGTTATTGGCCAGATGTTTTAGGAATTGTTTCATTAGTCTGGAAGTACCGTATTCTAGAAGGGGGATTTATTATAAGGGTAATGACCACCAGTCTTTGGAGCACTGCCATCAACTTCAATCAAGAAGCGGCACATGCTGCAAATGTCTTCAGACACTAGTTTTGACGCTGGTAGTGGGGGGTTTAGGAACCTCATTGCGTATGTATCAAGTGGGTGCACTTTGTGTGGCTGATGAGGTGGGTTTTGGCCCGGTGCAACCCCAATTTTGACGGAGGCAGCGAGAGCTGCGCTTGTCGGTGTAAGCCGTGGGCATCACAGGCTATCTTCCGGCTACCCGGTATGTTTGCTAGAGGATCTTTTGTTTTGTTTGTTGTGGCGTAGCCAGATAGGTGACACAACATAGAAGACTCCATTACAGGTAGCAACAAAGAGAAAACAACAGCGCTCTTTTATGGGTTTTCTGAATTAGGGCCCAGACTAAAGAACGCCGGCGGTGGGCGACGCACTCGTGCTACTGGGGGGCAACGAGTATAGAAGTGCAACGGAACAGGGTGACCCTCCCTGCAGGGCATATCCGACCACCACACGAGGTTTTCATCTTCCGCGCATGCTACCGATCTGCAAGGTGGACAACCGGCAAGGAGTTATAAATGCGGCATGCGCGCTAATAAATACACCAGTTACCAGACCTTCTTTCCGGTTGGGGAGGAAACCGAGCCCGTTAGTCTGCCCAGTCAATTCGGACGGGTTAATAGGAAACTGATGCTGCTAGGGGCTGAATGCATGTGGAAATGGCAGTTAGCATTAGTCCTCGGGAATGGAGTTGTTATATTCTAGGCAGGTTTTGTATAGCTAAACGGCGAACGGTAGGTGGCATCAGCTACCATGTATAACATAGGCGTATCGTGATGTCGTATTTGAACATTTGGTGGGCTGTGGCGCACAAAATCACATGTATTATATATATTACTTTTTGCGCATAGTCCGCTCTTGTATTGAAGAAGCGTTGACTTTGGTTTGTTTTGTGTCAGTTGTAGCTAGGCAAAACGGAGCACTACTAATTTATTAGGAACTTTTTCATCAAACTGGACATCTTTAGTGAATCTTGGCTCCATTTGCCCTATCCGGCGCAGGTCTTCATTGGGGTTGCCCTACCCTCCAATTGGGGACCACTTCTTCAAAGTTTGTCTTCAGGTCCATGCGGATGACTTAAGTTCTTGGATTTCCAACGCCAGCATATTCCAAATTGATGTAACCTCTACGATGAAATTGTTGCTTGCTGGCCTCTTCAACAACAACAATGGGAATCGTGTTGTACTACATAAAATTGGAAGAAAGTAATTAACACTAATTCTCTTCATATGTTCTTCTTATGGAACCATGAAAAATCATCTGAAAGTATTTAGTCGTTCTACAGATGATTCAGACCCGTTCCTCTATTACTGACGTGGGCATCCAGATAGTATATGGGGGCTTCTTAAGACCACTTCTTGAATATGCCAAACATTTGTCCAGTTGGGACTCAATAAAATCGTTGCTCTCTTGCAGTTTGTCAAGCGGGCTGTTATGAAAACTTTTGCCTGTCTTAAATTCGTTGACTATGGAAAGAGTCTTACGGATCTTGACCGGTTTCATCCTGGGTATAGTCCCCTTCGAGGAGATCTAATTCTTGTTTATGCCCTGTCTGAACAAGGCTTGGCCGACAGTAGTTTCATCGCTGACCCAACTAACACGCAGATTTGGTTAATAGATTTTCAAATTCGGAGACCACACTATTTTTAGGCAAGAACGTTTATCATTTGATGTATTTGGCGCGTAACAGCCACCCTTCGGTGGTTGTTCACGCGGCATCTAGAACCCATTCCAAAGCAGTTTCAAATATTCTCTATAGGGGTCCTCGCCTTGAGGACTGCGCTGGGAATTTAGACAGCGGGGCTACATTTTGTTCAGTGGTGCCCCATTGGGGTGGAGGCCACAGAACGACGGGAACAAACCCTACCCGTGATACATGGGTGGAGGCCTCGATCCTTTGTATCGGCATGTGAATCAATGAATCCGTGATCGGTTTAAAACAAAAGGTGCGGATGCTTCCCTTTCGTTTCTGCCAACATACAACAGTCACTATGTGCTTCAGTACGACGTTGAGCCACCACGACTAGGTTACCTGGGTGATATAACATTGTGAGTAATGGAACTAGTACGCTATCCGCCCTTTTGAATTACCCGTTTGCTTTCTGTTTCATACAGTATTTATCTTTGTTTAAGTAGACAAAGAAGAGGGAGAGCGCTAAACTGAAATCAATACATTTAACCACTAGCTAGTCTCTTTTCCCATATTCGACTTCTGATTGGTTAATTTTCCGGCTGTTTTTAGCGTGGCCATTTGAAATATAGCAATGACAATGAGATGGTACACTTGCTTTGACTATGTATTTGAGTTATTAGACGGATTTTTAGACATTCAAACACTCTGCATGCACTAGTGACGTGCGGACCAGGGTGGACAGCCGCAGGCAACAAAGAGGCGTACAAAATTTTTCTTCAAAAATGAATTCGATTTGGTAACACCCCTTGGGTATGCATGGCGATACAACGAAGCGATTCAGCTTAAATGGGATAAAAAACATGGAGCCTATGTATTTATTCCCTTCAAACTTTCCATTTAAAACGCGGAGTGTCGGTCATCACATTTATGCTGAGAGGCCAACCCACCCACCATTTTAGAGATGTGTTGATTTTCTATTTAAGTCATAATTTTGTGGCCCCAAATTAGACAGATTGAAGTCCGTATCTGTGACTGCAGCGCTCATAAGTCTACGAAGCCTTGTCGCGTGCGTCGGCCAGTAGCCTGGGGTAGGTGTGTTTCCGCCCCGTTGAAATTTTAACCAATCAGGTAGTCGCACTCGGATCTGCTTAGCCAGCCGGTACGTTGACTGCCCGTTTCCTCAGTTTCTCGCAGAGAATGGCTGATCCGGACTATTACGCCGTCCTCTCCGTTAGTAGAGATGCTACGTCTGATGATATTAAAAAGGCCTATAGGCGGTTGGCTTTGAAATGGCACCCAGATAAAAATCCGGATAACAAGGATTACGCCGAGCATCGCTTCAAGCTCATCAGCGAAGCCTACGAGGTTTTGTCTGACCAGTCAAAACGCCGGGTTTATGACCAATATGGCAAACAAGGACTAGTCAACGGTGGTGCGACTTCGCATGGAACGTATGCCGGAGAATTTGATCCATTTGCCTTTCATCCATTTCAATTTCACTTCAGGGATCCGATGGATATATTCCGTGAAGTATTCGGCGGTTTCGGTCTTGATAGCCTCTTTGGTCCCAGCTTGTTTATGGGGTTAGACCCCAGCAACCCCTCCAATCGTGCCCATCGGTCCACTAGTCACCGTGCCACCAACCGCCATTCTGGTTCTCCATATCACCATGCTCAACATCCCACTCGCTCCGCTTCTCATCGGTCAGATCTTGCTGTACCTTCAGAAAATGATTTTATGGGTGGACTTTTTGATTTCTTCGGTGGATCTATGCTTCAACCTTTCGGTATGTTTGGAGCTCCAGATTTTGGGAATGCAATCAGTTCTTCAACCGTATTCGGAAATTTTGGTGGCGTCCCCGTTTCGGGAGGATACAGGTCGGTCTCTACCTCGTCACGCACGGTCAACGGAAGGACAGTGCGTGTTACAAAGGTAGTTGAAAATGGCACTGAAACGATCACCGAAGAAGTTGATGGGCGAGTTACTACACGCACAACACGACCACACGGCGGGGGCGCCCTGCAAGCGATGTGATAAACTTATCTGTCGTAACATTTCTTTAGTTTCGTGACATCAACAGAACCATTCTGGCCATTCCTGTTTGTACAGTCCCCAGCCATTACTTGTTGCGACGTCTGGTAAACACTCACTTTTCTTCAGTATATGTCTGCGTGGTTATTGCACCAGCGACTGTTGGTCCCATCAGTCAGGCATTTAGGTCATCGTTCGCTTACCAGGAGACCAGTTGGGCATAACTATCAATTTACCGAACTGATTTGTTTCTGACTTCCTGGGCTGTGTAAAATGAAATCGCCCCGCACAGAAAAACAAAAGCTTATTATGTTGTTATGTTCAGGGTGGATCGATCGAAAACATGGTATTGATGGTTTTCCTTCTTCCTAAAAGTGTTGGGTGGTTACGTTAGGCCGGGCAGACTTCGCCTGCATAAGTAAATTCGTGATAGTGATCATTAAACTGGCTTCTGGGGCTCCAACTGATGTTTTACTACGGGTTCGCACACGGAAAGTCCGTAATCACGTGCTACGCATCTGCGGCAGCATGACATGCGTCCAATGCTGGTGCTTCGCTGCCGTGCGACCTTGATTTACAAGAAAGCCTTGTCCTGGAGAAAAGAATAAAAATGGTCGGGAAGAGGAGTCAGTGCTAGCTTACGTATTGAAATTAGAGTGGCTTAACCTAAGATGTGCGCAACGCTTGAAAGAGGTAATAGGTTTGCGAAAGGTGTCCCGAAGAAGTTCGGCCTGCGTCATTCACCTTACTGTTTGGGGCGCTGCATTGTGGGGCGGCAAACCGAGGTGGTTGTCTTAAGCCTTTCCATTCGGGTTGAGTCAAGTGAGGCTAGGATACTAAAACTAGGCTGTTCCCCTTTTACTCTTTGAACATCATATTTTCATAAATCGGCCTTTCTATGGCGGTGAACCACCGGCATTCTACAAGAACCTCTATTTTCAATGATACGTGTTTGCTGCGCACGAAGATGGATATGAAAGTGTTTCCGTCAGTCGACAACTAGCCGTGTTCGGCTGTACTTGTGAAACATATCCGCATCGTCATAATCAGTACCAGTGTTCAACACACACACCTCACCTGTTAATCCATGACATTTTATTTTATGAAAGCGGAAAAACATGGAATCAGGGAAACATTAGTGTAAGGTTTTTGGGAACAAAGTGCTTTCATGCCGCGTGCGATGCACCTTTGTCATGACAGAATGTGGATAGCGCAATGCGATAGGGCAAGGGGGAATCAGGGAAACACAACAACACAACAGATTCGTAAATTACGCGTATGTAGTCTCAACCAGTGCGAGCAACATCGAGTCTAGCTAACTGAAGGTTCTTATCACAGGGCGCATGTCAAAAGGTTCGAAATGGCGAATTCAAACAGATGGCATAGGACTTTTGAACTCACAGTTTTAGGGGCTAATGCCTCCTATGTGTGGAATATAAGGTTTAGGTATGGCTGTATCCAAACCGCTTCCAGGGTCTTCATTAGTACTGCGTTAGCGCCTAACTCCCGAGATCGCTCAGTAGTTAGAGCGCGAATTAGCTAACGGTAGTACCCCAGCCCTCGCGTCCTCAGGTTGCACGGCAGCGAGGAAAGGATGCTACAGCTGAACGATCAGTATTGTCGCAACAGTATGCCTACCAGTGTCATCCGTCTTAGCACAGTGTAGTCTGTAAAGCTACCAAGGTATGTTACCCATTCAACAAACAAGGTTCTCATACTGAATTCTTATAAGTCTTGGTGTGCTGAAAATCCTGAGGTCAGACTGCGCACTTGATGACATTAAAGTGTGGAAGTGGTGGTCGTTCGCTGAGCTCAGCACTTTGGTTGCAGACGTTTCATCATCATCATACGTTTGTAGAGAGCGGAGTGGAGGGTAAATTTGCGTCAGTGGTTGTGCTCCACCTCCTAACAACATGCTGATGATATCACCTCGAATGGTGATGGAACGTTTGCGATTAAATTACACATCTCAGTGAACAACCAGTGTAGCCACCAACGTCCTCCTTGACAGCATGCGGAAGCGAAAACCAGTTGGAGCACTGTCTTTGAGCTCTGAATGATAGTAACAACGATCGAGTACTCGCATACTGCTCGGTGGTATTCTTATTCATAAAGTTACTAGGAAGGATTAATCCTGTTCTGTAGATTCCCCTAAACAGACAGTTTGTTACGGTGAAATGTTCATGCAGGGTTACCTCCATCCAGCAGCTCTCCAATACCCACCCTTGTGACCATTTGAACGAAACACCAGCAGCTGAACATGAAATCGAATAATTGGCTCGACTGTGTCTTTAGGCTGACAGACATTGATCGCCCCTTCTGGACGTAGGCAGGGTCAAAACATGGAACTTACTGACCGGAAGGTCCGTCGTTCAAACCCGACCGCAGCATCTCGACTGCTCCTGTCTAGGCTTGGGCGACCTGAAGTATCTCAGTCCTCGTGCTTCCTTCGCATAGCATGGCAGTTACGTACTGAAAGGGTGTTACTGCTGAACGGGTTTTTCTGTGCAAGAGCACTTTTTCTGTATCTGAGTTTTACTACAATTGGACGTTTATAAGGGTGGGTGCACAGCTGAGCCCGTCGAACTTTAGGTATTGTTTAGGCGGTCGCGGCAATTTTACTTGTCTCGAAGGTCTATACTTAAAATTTGTCGCACATATTTACCATGTTTAAAAACTCGTGATTCCATACAGGTCAATCCTTTCCCGGTTCTACCCAATAGAGTGCCGTCCCCGGCAGGATATTACTCAAAATGACTGTTTATGTTTGTCAACAAACATCACAAGATGTCTCATTCTATCTTGTGAGCTAAGAGTACTTTGACTACCTCTCTTCAGAAAAGTATATCGTGCACTGTCCTAGTTCACCCTTTGGTGTTTGTTTTGTGCTGAAGTGGCTTTCGCCTTCGCACATTATTTCACTAACACCAACCAGCCCTTTCCCAGACTATGAGCAACTAGAAAGGGTACTTCCACTTCTGAAGGATCATGGGCCCGCTGAGCCTGTTATTCTGGCGACCCCACTCTATCCGGATCGCTATACGGTTGAATGAGTGTGAAGGTATCCGGTGGCTCATACACCGAAGGTGACATCCACTGGAAGAAGCACGCTACATATATGGGTTGTTTCAATGAGTAGTGGCGCAGGCGGTAGCAAACATAGGTTTTGTGACTCTTCAAATATCCACAAATGCAACTCGAGCCTGCACTAGTTCAGGACCTCCTTCGAAGTGCACACTCCCTACGGTGTTGTAGAGCAATATTGTAGTCACCCTCACCGGTGAAGGCTGACTGGAAAGTCGTCTATTTGCGTCCGTGTTTGTCCGTGGTTCGAACCCGACCTCTGCCTCACGACTTCCCCTGTCTAGGCTTGGGCAACCTGGCAGTATCCCAGAATGCAAGCAACCTTCGGGTGGCATATCAGTTAGGCACTGAAAGGCTGCGACGGCTGGACGATTTTTTGTCTGATTAGGAGACGGAGGGCGCGAAGCAGTACATTTGGTATGCCAAAAAATCGGTACTTAAAATGAGCGAACCTGATTACTTCAAGGTTGATTTCGTCATACTCACATCTTAGGATTCATGTCTGTACAACAGACCTTTGAAGACCCACTCAACCCTTCGCTGATGATATTACCTCGAGTGGTGATGAAACGTTCACAAACCAACTGTCAAGCTCAGCGAACAGACCAACAACCAAGCAGCGCCCCCGAGGTACCTCTATTCCACAACGCTGCTAAATTTTGAAGTTATCTTTCACAGGACCGATGCCACATTTGGTGGTTGCGGACGTGTAAACAGACAGTGCCCGTTGAGAAAGGTATCCACGACAAGGGTAGCCAGTCACTCGTGGAGAAAAGCGGCGGAAGATCCTCTGTAAGCCCAATCACTTCCCGGTCAACCAGCATACAGCATTTTGTTTTTCTCTACAGCTGAATCCGTATAGCGAATGTGACCGCATCTTGTGGTTCACATCCCAATGTGTTCTTGAAGCCTTTTGAAATCTTTCTGGGGTCCCGTGGCCACTACTTCTCCAGGTAAATGGCCCCATGCGATAACTATTCCACAACAGTGATAGAAAGTTTCAAACGTGCCTTCCTGCGCCTAGGCAGCCTATATGTACGCCTCCGAGTAGCTACACTATCATGAGTATATTTGGCCCTAGTTAAGCGCGAAACGAAGATTGAATTCAGAATCGTAAACGTAGGTTAACTCGACGAATAACAGCTGCGAGCTAAAATGCTAATTGGAGAATGGCTAGCGAAATGCGAGGATAGTCAACAAACACTTTACTCACAACATCTCCCCAGCCCCGATCAGAGGTATGTATTGGTGAATGGTAATGTGAGTGGCAGAAATAAAACTTGCGCCTCGCGTTTCTCAAGTTGGATCGCCGAACCCGCTGTTTTTATTAGCTCGGAATAATCATCACCATTGTCAGCTGTATGGACCGCATATTTGTCGTACAGTGGTTGTAGCTGCCACAGTTTCGTTCACCGATGATTCGGGGGTGGGGGGTGGGATAGTTAGCTGCGCATTGGAGGCGGGAACTGATAAATTGGTGTTTAGGTACAGCAATATCTGTGAATTGTTAAGTGGGGGGATTGGGAAGGGAGCTATACACTGAAGTCAATAGCTTGGATGCACGAGCGCCGTTGAGGGCGCGACTGGGCCGTGTCTGACAATGTCTCTCACCATTGTTATGGCCCGTCTCGGGATCCCCATCCAAGACGGCAATGACCAGTTCAGCTGAGTTTGCTGCTAATGGCTTTTATACTTCGATGCCAAGTCATTGATCGCCTCTGGCTCTCTTCCACCTTTCACTTGGTTGTGCGAATAAAGGTATGATATGATACTGTATTGCAGTTTGGAAGCGAATACCCAGGTCTACCTGTGGGTATGTTAGTTTCTGTATCACCTCATGTCTGAATTCTGATGTAACTTGATACTCTACAGTGAAAAACCTATTGACGACCTGGTTAGATGATGCTTTTACATTTCTGGCAGATAAACGGCGAAGCCAAACAGTGTGTTATTCGCCATCGATATGCGTTAAATGAGCACACTCTGGGTTTCACATCACAAGCTTGACCTCCACAAGCGGGCCATACTCTGGCGGCCTTTCCTATCCACTCTGGAAGACAGGTTCTTGGGTATTTAGCTAGGCGCATAGTAAGGTAACACTGCGCGCGTGCTGGAACATTTATATGGGTGGATTATAGCTGTTAGCTGCCCACGAAAATGATCTGAGTGAAGACTGAGTAGAACAATTTCCCGATATGTAATCTTCAGTGACAGTTCTCCAGGGAGTCTCGCCAATTCAATATTTGACCGTTCAGCTATAACACCCCTCCGGTGCCTAGCTGTTATGCCACCCGAAGAAAGCACGAGGGCTGGGATACTTCCATGTTTCCCAAGCGTAGACAGGAGAGGTCGGATTCGAACCACGGACCTTCCGTTAAAAAAATTCACGCCCTAACCACGGATTGGTAATCACTCCGCAGACAGAATGACGATCCCCTATCAAAGTGGATAAATTCTGGTATCGCAAAGATTGGAACCGTTTGGATGAAACATCTGACAACATCAGAAGTAAGCGTGTCAGGAGTGGGAACTGCAACTCAAAACCTGGACTATTCGCCAACAGTGGTTGAAAGACAACGATCACGTGTGATTGAGAAGACCGAACCTTCGAAATCTATACCTACATGTCACACCGGGGAGAGGTTCTTAGTCCAGAACGCGTTTTACTGGAGGCGAAGTGCGCTTCACATCGTCAAAAGAAAACCGAGTTCTTTGAGCGCATAAAGTGTATGTTTTAATAATCCCTGGAGGCAATGGATAATTACGCAGTCCTGGATTTTTGTTGTCCGCTACCGTCGCACAAAAATCACGAGGGCGTAACCTACACGGTTTACTTTATTGTATAAATGCCGTAGTTAAAAGCAGGTAATTCAAATGGTCTTATTCTGTCATTTCTAATCTTCCTACGTACGTAGAGGCAATTTAGCTTATGGTCGGTTATTAATTTGAAAAGTAATCCAGGAGGATAATGCCGCTACTTTCCCACCTCTTCGGTAATAACGTAGGCTTCCTTTTCGACAATGGAGTTATGTTCACTCAGGATCAAAGTTCTGGTTCTGATTCAGCTGCGCCGCAATAGCCATACCTGATGCGTCTGTTTCAACAACCAGAGGTATGCCCTAGTCCATGATGACAGCCATAGAATTCTTGAGTTTGACAAAGTTCGGAAATATTTCTAACTGGCAAACTGATGTCAAAGGGGGACAAACACTGAATAACAGGCATGGATCTCTGCCATGCGTTGTTTGGCTTTAGCGTTAGAGAGAAGCGACAGTTGTGGATAGTTTGGGTCAGGTTTGATAATTCGTTTAGAGATTTGGAATCCCAGGAGCTGTGATGATTTTGCATCATCGTATTTAACTGTTATGGTCATTTTTTGGTTTTCGCAAATCGTGACTGCAAATATGTCAGTAGTGTTTTCCAGTTTGTTGGAAATAGATGACACAGTCGCGCCAACAGAAATACAGAAAATCGGAAAAGGCTACCGCGGGTTTCATATTGTACTCTCTTTGGAAATGTCCTCGATCATTTTGCCGTGCTTTGGTAATGGATAAGTATCACGACAAGCGGATCGGCTGACTAGTTAAGTACCGTGCCATTTCTGTTATTTATATTCCTGGTGACGATAACTTGCACTAGGGTCCAGGGGTACCATCTTTTTCTAAGTGATCAACTCGGGTGTGTATGCGCCTTCGTTATCGGAGTGTGATGCTGTTGTTTGATCTGAACGAATTTTCACTCTGGGAAAAGGTTGACAGATACTGGTGTGGACTGGATTTTTGCGACTGTTAGTTCACAGTGGTATTCCCGCCCTCAGCGTTCAGCTGAAGAAGCCACTTGTACTGCATGTGAAACAAAATGATGTCTCCAATGCGTCTGTAGATGCAGACTCACCAAACATCGCGCAAACATACACGGACGGATCAATGACGTGAATGGGCTTGTCAAGGTTGTATAGCTTCGTTTGTGGAGGTAAGTGCTGAACGCCTGAAAAGTTTAATTCCATCGTTTGGTTGTGTGAGTCGCATCAGGATTGGTGTCGAAGCACTTGGGTTGAATAGTGATATGATCCATAGTCTTAGTGGTCGAGTAACTTTTCACGAGTGTACATGGCATGCAAAACGAAATTTGGATTCAGAATAGTGAGGGTACACAACAGGTCATCGCATATTCGGTGATATTCATGTTGATAAAGTTCGACCTTTCCACCTTTAGAATGTTAAATTTCACCACCACTGTTCGAGCATCGCGACCTTGCTGGTAAACGGGCTGTCCGTACTCTAGCAGCGGTTTGTGTTTGCACCGAAGAAGATACAGAAGATTTTCCGAGACATTTGACCTAATGAGAGGAAACTGAATATATCCATTCTGCAGGACGTGGCGTTTGTCATAATAGGCGGACGGGTTTCACTGGTGAGACCAACTGTGGAAGAAGTTAAAATCCGTATGAAGAATTCACATAGTCATTATTCCTGGTCGCCACCGAGAGTTTGATTTCGTCCGCGAGCATGAGACTATGCCGTTCTAGTTCAGGTCCGAATATCGATTCCTGAGGTATCCAGTTTGTACAGCTTAATGAAGCAGAATGTGTCAGTAGGGCATCAGCTTCCAGGTAGCCGACGACTTGGTATACGATCGAATGCCTCAACGATTCCTACGTATGCGATATCATTATGGTTTTCGACGTCACTGGGATAGACTTATCTCTCCTCAGCCGACAGCAAATTGAAATTGCATGAACTGACACTCTGAAACTTGTGCTGCTCGACTGCCGGAAGGTTAGTTATTTGGAAATGTTCAGTTTCATCCTTGGTTATTCCTTCCACCACCGGTCCGTAATTCACTGTTGAGTATAGAGCTCCTCTCCTAAACATAGGCTCTACTACTGTTGTCTTCCATTTTGAGGATAACTGGCTTTCGTCTGAGGAGTTTATGGGCAAGTTGGAAAGTGTTCTAGAGAGGAACGTTGCTAAATACTTCAGGAAGCTTGGATGAAGTTCATCTGGGCCTGAGGCGGTTTGGTCGATCAAGAACAGTAGAATTCTCCCCCTAACTTAGGTCCCGATTTGATTCGTTGACATCCTTGCAATGTAGGCACGCGAACTTCATACAGCAAGATAATCATAATCTCAGGGAGATTCTGCTAATGGCTCACACAGCCTCTGCCTACAATAGCATTTGGCTCTCCGTCTGGGTTTGGTTTGGTCGGCACTTGCACTTAGGAATGTAGACCATCGTACGTTTAGCACTGCCTCAAGTCGAAGCGATTGAGGAATGTGATGGCGAGTAGTTTTACTTTCAAGAATATAACTGTAAAGTTCAACGATTTTATGCATGTTTTTTCACAGTTGTTTAGTCAGAGCCACAAACTGGGCTATACCGAATTATGGTGTCAACACTTTCATATTCGTTCTTCAATGTATGCTCCAGATGTGTGCAAGCGTACTTTGAACCCTAAATTAATCAAAATTCAGCCTAAGACATGGGCGTTCATTCATATACAGCAAACTCGTGCAATGGATCGGGCAGCTTGGTGTCTGGAAGTCGAATATATCACCCTCACAATAACTGCCTAGTTTCTGTAGGCTGTACATTGGTCATGAAAGCATCTTAGGCTGTTATTTCTATTCATCCCTCAGTAACGCCTTGGGACTTACAATCCGGGGCTGGGGGTCTGAGTTTCTAGACGAGCGTAGTTTGTCCAGTGTCTTGCTCGCAGGTTTTTGGCAGGCGAACACCTCGTTTTCGGCATTACCTGTACTTTTCAGAGCTTCTTGGTGGTCTATTCGCAGTTGCAGCGTTCAAATACCGCAAGATACATAAAGTTGCGGTTTTCAGTTTGTGAAGGTTGAACGCTTACGCCTCGTCATTCAGTTGTATTACCCTTCGGTATCTAGCTACCATGTCACTCAAAGGAAACACGAGGGCTGAAATACTGCCAGGTTGTCCAAACCTAGACAGAGGGATTTGAGAGGCAGAGGTCGGGTTCGAACCACGGACAGACACGGACACAGTCATTTTGGAAATCCTAGTGCGTAACTTTCGATCTGTCTTGCTTTCCCTAGTGAAGGATAGGAAGAAGAGATTTGCCAAACAACCGCGTGTAAATATGCACAAATAATATCTGGATCCACTACATGAGTTAGACCTATGCTTCAGACGTTTTAGTGTTTGATTCGTCATTTGACAAGATTACGCAAATTGCATGCAATCGGAGCGCCCGGAACTTGTGTGATCTCAGAGCCGTAAAACTGGCTTCTCTCTACTTGGTCTTCGTGAGCATGTGCATAATCCGTCATCCCCCAGACAGCGCGTAAACTCACGTGTATGGGTTATGTGTATGGATTGTCAGGGACCACACTCATATCACGTGCAGTCGGCAACGTTCTTCATCATGCTGGTCGTAAACATATCCAATTCAGTTATGGCTTCAAGAACAGCAGAACAACCGTGCACCTGACCTCAGTATGACCCTAACAAAACAAATCGTAGCGTTATCATTTCTCACACTGTACGATGTTCGTATGCAGTGCAGATTATTCATGAGTAAAGAAGTGAAATAACTCCGTAAATTATTCGTGACTTTAGGTCCTTTGTCGATTAGCTTGAAGGGTTTGACATGGCCCGGTTGCAATGACAGCTCGTTTGCCAAAAAGTGGCAACCTAACAGTCGTAAGTCAAGAGATCCGAGTTCACAGTGAAAATAGTGAGCCAGCGGTCTTGCTGTCGAATCAACCATATTCCGATCCATTAGCACGACGCTGTGTATCAATAGGTTCACCATGGCAACCACTTACTTCACCGCCTTATCCAGGTTGCCCTGACAGCAAGTATGCTGAAGTGGTAGCTGTGCCTGGGCTGGTAAGAAAGTGAAAACAACTGAGATTTAGTTCTGCAAATGAAGTCAATCTATGCAAAAAAAAAAGCCGGAAGGTACCGCACAGCTCTTTCGTCCCTGTTGGGAATCATCAGCAGTGCACATCTCACGAAACTCAGAAACCTCCCAGTTAGTAGTTTGAACACCTAGCCAAATCGGCCGCAATAGACTGAACAGCATTCTGATTGACTCACACAGACGGGATATAGTGCCAATCATCCTTGAATCACACCATACCACGCGGTCGCGTGTTACTGGCTCCTGAAGTAACGACTTCTCAGACGGAAGTTTCACTCATTTGGTGCCCTTGCACTTTCTCTGCGCCACTTATGGATTGATGACAATGTGAAGAAATAAGTTGACAAGAAACTGGAAATCAAGTTCGTTGATGTGAAAATGATATATATATATATATATATTGAAAATGTGGGCTGTTTGTCATGATTTCACCACATTATCACTTCACGTTGCGCAGGAATTCTTCGGAAATGTTCCAACGTTAGTGCTTATAAGAGCAGTAAAAACATCCCTGCATTTCCATTGTTGGATGCCTATTTCTCGACTTCATAACCCGTAGGTTAGTTGTCTTGTTCCGTTGTGAAGTGTCCAGATAGCAGAGCTTATCCTGAATTGGCCCAGTCGATTTTAACTGCTTGAGCTGATACTCTTCTGTTAACAATCTTTAGGTAAGGTTTTTGGGCCTATTCACGAAAGAAATCTTTTGAGTAGATGAAAATGTTTTCTCAAGGAAAGTCTTTCCTCATGAAGGGTTACTAACGCGTGTCTCCTCTGAAGCGTGTCAGAATTTGTCACAAGAAGTCTGTTCCCCCCAGAGAGACCAATGTGAAGGACTAATATTTCGGTACCCACCTCAAAGTCAAAACGGATAATCACACGGCGTGATGCGTGTCCATGTGGTCAATTCTGCTTGGATTCCACTCATTTCATCAAATTGGCAACCAGTAATTATTGTTGTGGATCATTGTGTTACAAAATATCTCCCCGAATAGTTGGCGGTGGACTTCATTATTCGGGTGTTCTGAAAAAGTTTGAACGTGCTTGAAAACTCCGAGCTTGCTGCTGCTGCTGCCTAGAGTGATAATGATATGTAGTAACAATTGACAAGAAACGGGGAATCAATTTCGTTGATATGAAAATGATATATATATATATATATTGAAAATGTGGGCTGTTTGTCATGATTTCACCACATTATCACTTCACGTTGCGCAGGAATTCTTCGGAAATGTTCCAACGTTAGTGCTTATAAGATCAGTAAAAACATCCCTGCATTTCCATTGTTGGATGCCTATTTCTCGACTTCATAACCCGTAGGTTAGTTGTCTTGTTCCGTTGTGAAGTGTCCAGATAGCAGAGCTTATCCTGAATTGGCCCAGTCGATTTTAACTGCTTGAGCTGATACTCTTCTGTTAACAATCTTTAGGTAAGGTTTTTGGGCCTATTCACGAAAGAAATCTTTTGAGTAGATGAAAATGTTTTCTCAAGGAAAGTCTTTCCTCATGAAGGGTTACTAACGCGTGTCTCCTCTGAAGCGTGTCAGAATTTGTCACAAGAAGTCTGTTCCCCCCAGAGAGACCAATGTGAAGGACTAATATTTCGGTACCCACCTCAAAGTCAAAACGGATAATCACACGGCGTGATGCGTGTCCATGTGGTCAATTCTGCTTGGATTCCACTCATTTCATCAAATTGGCAACCAGTAATTATTGTTGTGGATCATTGTGTTACAAAATATCTCCCCGAATAGTTGGCGGTGGACTTCATTATTCGGGTGTTCTGAAAAAGTTTGAACGTGCTTGAAAACTCCGAGCTTGCTGCTGCTGCTGCCTAGAGTGATAATGATATGTAGTAACAATTCTCGTTACTACCAATCCCGTCACAGTTAATGGAAAGCGAGACATCCTTAGTGCTATCCTGTGAAGAACGTCCCTATATCATTTACTAACTGACGGCAGAAATTTCACTTGTTGAAACCTCCGGTACCACTGTTTTACTCTTTGTCACGAAGTCCCTCGGTTATTTTTTCACTGTAAATTCAGTGGTCTTCAGTTAGACACACTCACGTGATACCCCCTTTGATACTTTACAGTTTGTTTTAGGCAGACGTGTAATAAGTGCAGTCACATAACCCACATACAAACAGAATAAGTCATGTAGTTTCAACTGGTTGCGGGGTTTGTAGAGTTCACATCCACATTACCCTCCTATAAGCGGTGCTCCTCCTGTCTTGGTCTAAATACACTGGTCAGCCAACACCAAAACGGCAGAACACTTGACTCAAGTTAGATCCCATCAGTAGTGCAAATCCTTGGCCCTGTTGGGGTATCTGACAGGTGAGGCGGACATGTTACCATTACTCCATCAGCGCATGCTGAACGCACCTGAATTATCACTTCGAAGCAGACAAACGTGTTCACCAGGATAACTAATCCAGGCGAGAGGAAGACTGTTTAAATGAGAGTAATATGAATGCGATTACTACAAATCCAGCAGCCACCCACAACTAATAAAAAACTGTGCAGCAGATTTCGACCGTCCGTGGCGCTACCTGACGGGGAGTTCCTGTCAAGTGGGTCAACTGATCTACATAACCAGGACAGGGTCAGTTACATCGCTCAAGCGTAACAAATCAGGTGCGAGCAGGGGAATCACACTAGCCTCGCACTTCAGATGTTTGGAGTTCAGACCCAGAAACAGTGAGGAATGTGCACTACTGATGGGCTCTAATAAGGACAGAACTTGAGCGCTTTGCTTCTTCTCTTTTGGGGTGGGCACAACAGCAGAGGAGGAATGTTAGAACGAGAGTTTTGTGAATGTGAAAACAATGTTGTACAGCGTAGCTTACCCAGCTGGACAAAACAACATGTGAATAGCATTGCGAATTGCAGCCAAGGTCGACGACACAAACAAGCAGGATCGAGTTTCTCATTTTCGTATACAGCCTAAGGTTTTTACTATTCTGCTCCAGTTGGCTTTATTCCGCTTTCCAACTCTTGGGTCTAATCGATGTTCCCCATCTGAACATCCTCAGAAAACAAGCTAATCCGTTGAGTGGGATCGAGAAAAATTTTCATGGGTTAGCCCAACACATAGTAGGACATTTTCTCCGAAAAACGAATTGGCTAGCTAAAAGTATGTCTGTAAGCAATGCAATGTAACACAACAGTCATCAACTTGACGGTCGTTCTATCCAGTCATCCAATAGGCGTTTTGGTGTTAGCAGAACCAGTTTAATCGTTACAAGAATGCGTCAAGACTACCAACTTATTTCAGTTTGGTGTTTGGGGTTGATTGACTAACTAAACAGTCTGTATGTAGTTTGATGTGGATATTTGCACCACACTGTGTGAATTTAATACGTTTTATTTTCCCACTTAGTGTACTCCTGGGAGATAGTACCAAGCAGTACTGAGCACTTAGGGAACCTCAAATGGCTTGAGTGCCTGTCTGAAGTCGTTCTTTCATCAGTTATGCGCTACTCAGAATGATGAGAATCTTCGACATATGCCCTCATTTTCGCACGAATTTTGTCTTTGATGTATGCTGATTCAACCCGATTGGATATGCCCCACCAGGCCATCTCATGCGGAGAGTTGTCGAAATATGTGTAATTTGTGTTCAAGAAGAACATAGGGTTGACGTAACCTAAGGGAGTGCGCCCACCTGCTGAGTCTAGCCACCTTATGAGTAGTGTGTTACGTCTAGAAAAGGAGAACTTTCCTGATGTGGACAAATCCTCTCGCCTCGGTAGAAGTTCCCACGAATTCATCCACCACTTTATTAGCGAACATCATGAAGGGTCCTTCTCCGAATTCTGCGTGTCATTCTTACGTGCCAGGATTATTTTTTCCACCAGACTGATAAACTACCCTAAATTCATCCACTTGGAACGCTGGTCATTTAGAAGTTGGGTTTCCGTTATATCCTTCAAATGATAAAAAGATACTATCGTTGGACGTGCCTTCAGGAGCCTAGAACTGAATTGTACCTGGTACTGCTGCCTTTTTCTTCCTCCAGAGAACCACATTTGTCAGATTTTTATCGGATAGTTTGATTTTTCTCATCGATTGCTGGTCAGTGTGTCGGGTGGGTGATACGCCCTAACTGGTGAAAATACTACTCTCTCCAGATAGCTCTTTCGATTTAAGCAAAGTGAAAATAAATTTCAGTCGAATTCGCTTATGTTGATGCTAATTCCTACACCAATCCTTTTTACAGGCGTCTTATTGAAAATAAGCAATAAAATCTGTGTTACTTGCTTTGAAACGAGTCAGTATGCTGTCAC